AATCACTCCCCCCCCCCCCCCCCCCCTTCCTGCTGGCCACCCCTGCAGCCCAGGACACAGTTGGCCTTGTGGGCTGCAAGGGCACACTGCTGGCTCATGCCTAGCTTTTTGTTCACCAGGATCCCAGAGTCCTTCTCCACAGGACTGCTTTCAGCGAGTTCTTCTTCCACACTGTATACGCATCTGGGATTGCCCATACTAAGGTGCAGCACCCTGCACTTGGACTAGTTGAACCTCTTTCAGTTCAACGTGGGCCCACGTTTCAAGTTCGTCCAGGTCTCTCTGGATAGCATCCCTCCCTTCTGTTGTGAACTACACCACTCAGCTTGGTGTCACCTGCAAACTTGCTCAAGGTGCACTCAATCCCATTGTCTAGGTTGTTGATAAAGATGTTGAAGAGCACAGGTCCCAAGATACACCCCTGAGGGACACCATTCATAGAATCATAGAATCGCAAGGTTGGAAACAACAACCTATAAGATCATCTAGTCCAACCGTGTTCTGATTACCACTGCTACCACAAGCTACTAAACCATATCTCGCAGCTCCTCATCCAGACAATTCATCACTGGCCTCCACTTAGACATAGATCTGTTGACCACAATCCTCTTGCTGCAACCATCCAACCAAATATTTAGCCACTGAGTAATCCACTCTTCAAATCACTATCTTTCCAATTTAGAGATAAGGATGTGGTGTGGGACCCTGTCAACGGTCTTGCAGAAGTCCAGGTAGATGACACTGAGACTCACTAGATGACTTTTCTACCCTTCGTAAAAATGGGAGCGACGTTTCCCTTTTTCCAGTCACCACAGACTTCACCTGACAGCCTGCAACAACTCTCCCGGATCTACACATGCAACTGAAAATGAATGGCATCTCTCTTAGAAGTTTATACAGCCAATAAACTTTCAATTCTGATGATTAAACAAAAAAAAACTGGAATCAGAAGTCAAAGTTCTAACTCAGCTATATGAAGGAAGACATGAATTGCATGTTTGCAGTAGTCAATGCATTTTAGAGACTTATCCTGGTAATAAATGCCATACAGTAAGGAGTTTCTAACTTTTTGGCTTGCCTGGCTGCACTGAGTGAAGAGGAATTATATGGGGCTGCATATAAAATATGTAATATACTTCACATACATAATCAACAAAACTTTGCTTATTCTTTTTTGCATTTTTATTTGAACATTAAAAAGAGGGCTACAAAAATATTAAAATAGCATATTGGACACCTATACAATAGATCAAATTCCAAGTACTGGAAATTAAATCTCATGTTAAAGATTGATGCATATTTAACATGTCTCACATTTATTTAGTATAGTTCAGCCTTAGCATCCATAGTGGCCCTATCTAGGGGCATCCACTTTTGTGCACTTTATCCTAAAAGTTGCCTTTCTTCCATCAAGCAACAAGGTTAAGTGCATCTCCTGGGCCTTCCATGGGATAGAGAATCAGGACTGCCACAGGAGTCACAGGCAAATGGACTGCTGCCCTCTTCCATCCTGTAAGGAGCAGCTGCTGCCAATCCACATTACACTCTGTTGCCTGACAGGAACAGCCCAGATATTCACACAAGTTGAGACAGGCACAAGATATGAGGTTAACTGGGCTGTCTTCTATCATCTCTAGCAGGTGGAGGGGAGAGGTAGTGGCCAGGTGGTTTTTGTGTGGATCACTGTTGCCTATGGCTGTACTATATAATACAGTTAGGTACAAGTTATAAATGGCTAACTGAAATGGCTTCCCCACTGTGAATTTTCTTGTCTTTGTGATTTTGAGCCACAAAATAGGTTTGCATACAATGAAAAAAGGCAGCACACACTGTTTGTTAGTATATAAAATCTAGAAACAAGTATAATAATCATGGTTTAAGGGGGCTAGAAATAGAAATAAGTAAGGGGAAGAGAATACATGAAGATCATTATTAAGAATTTAAGAGCGAATTGCCTAAGAGATGCATGTGTACTGTTTGCATATCATCAAATATGCATTAGATAAAATAAGCCATTTGTAGGTCAGACAAATGGAAGTAGTGTACAAGAACTGTGACAGTGCTTGGAACCAATTTCTTTTTTTTTTGTTTACTCAATGTCCCATTCATCTGTTGCCCATCTCACTAATCAGTTACAAAATGAAGTCTGATAGATTATAATTCAGTATATTAAGCCATTATACAGTAATTCAGAAAAAAGGTAGCATAATTTCCTCACATAGAAAGAATTATGGTAATTGAACTACAAATACAACAGGCTAGATGTAATAACCAGTTGAATAACAACAAAACTGCTAACTGAAATTGCTCACACCATTTTTTAGCATAAAACCATGGTCTCCACTTAGCAAATTTTCAGGATATGTACTCTTGTGTCTAAAACTGGATGGAACAATACAGAAACGTGGATTTCTAAGACTCTGTAAGAGACTATTAGACATTTAATTACTATAAGAATACTTCTATTAGAGCAGATTTTAATATATTTATTCAAACAGAAAAAGAAGAAAAAGAAGGTAAAGCTTAACACAGAATAAAAATCAAAATGCATGCAAAGGAACCACAGCACTACAAGCTACTTACTAATATTCCAAGCAAGCTTCCTTCACTTAAATTTACTTTTAAATGACATGAATTGTCTAACCTAAAAAGGTGGACAGAATACATGTCTATCATTTTACAGCACCATAAATAAAATCAATAATGAGACTGAATAATTAAATCCATTGAGATCCCTAAAGTGTGTTTTCACTGTCAGTCCTTAAATGCAAAGCAAAACTTACACAACAATACTAAAAGTGCATAAAATACGGCACCTCCTCTGTTCTCATAAAGGAACTTACTGCTTCTGAAAAGCCGTATCTGACAACCACAGATGTATCACACAAAGGTAAATTCAGAAGTTTTATGTTCTGCAGACTTAAGCAGAATTTGACTGATCTGTGATCAAACTTCTTCAGGAAGGAAACTGTCCTGGCTATCAGCCTTCTGGATGACTTACATTAAACTTCCTATTTCTTGGAAACAAGCCAAGTCAGTTTCCCCTGAATGGTCAGAAAGCTGAGAATGCATCAGCTATAAACTGCTTGCACAGAATGCATCATCTGACAGGACATACATGATGCGTTCATTTGGTCACTGACAGGAGGGCAGACATGGATATGTCATTATTGTTGTTGCATGTGGAGTTCAAGAACAGATGGACAGCTCTGTGAAAATTCTGGGATCTGAAGAGCAATTAAACTGCAGTTAAAGTTCTCACCTACAAAATACGAACTTCATTTTTTTCCATTCTGGGAAGTGGGCAGTCTCAAAGAGCGTGATAGTAACAAGAGCTCCACGCCTTAAAAGTATTTTAAGTATTTCTCTGAAATAATTACATGGCCAAAGGACTGTTAGAATCATTCTTCCACTTTTATATTGCATTCTTTTAAAATCTCTAATGGAGGCATATCCTGGCCTAATTTCAAAGACTTTTTGCACAGAAAACATCTTTTGGTTTGAACTTTAAGCGTCTAGCTGCCTTTTGACACTGTAAAAGAAGAAAAGGCACATTCTGAAAACCTACTTATGCCACAAAGGCATTTTTCTTCACTGTGTTTTCCAGATTTAAATATCATCCTTTTCACTGCATCGGTGCAAAGATAAAAAGGACATTGGACAAAAATTCCCTCTCCAAAGGAAGACGCCTGCAGTTTGCATAGGTAAGTTTAAAAGTGCTACTTCTTTGCTTCAAAACATTCACATAAAAATAATTGCTAGATGTCTAAAGGATCGAGTCCAAACGTTATTTTGTGAATGTAACTCACTGTAATAAAATAATTTAATATACTTTCGTTCAACGATCTATATGAGACTTAGGTAAAGATTCAACAACTGCAAAAAAATTTGGTTTAATTTACAAATTGCCAGTCATGGCTTATAGCATATTTTTAAATAGAAATTTTACAAGTATTTTATAATGTAATCTACTTGGTGCCTGGGTATTTCGTTATAGTTACAAAGAATGCTCTTTGGAATTTGAATTCATTTGCTTATGGCTGTTTAAATATTTTTTTTTTTAATCAATCTGTGACTTTGAAATGTTATTTTTTTTTTCCCCATGTACTTTTATATGCAATTAAAGCTAAGTTGCACCTTACTGAACTTTTACCTGTACAAAACGATAATCTCTCTTCACCATACGTTAATAAGTCAAAGACTCATTTTTATATGTAGTCATTCTACAGGGCTTTAAACACCAACTAGAACTGATTTCTTGCTTACAGTCTAGAAATACAGAATAAATTGAAAACTAAACTTGGAAATATATCACAGTTTTCAGCAATCATTTACATGCTCATGGCTACATCATTTATGCATAACGTATACCTAAGATTAGAGCCCTAAGTAAGTTAGATACTATCATCAGCAAAAAAAGAAAAAAAGAAAAGAAAGAAAGAAAGAAAAAAGAAAAAAAAAAGCATCCAACTAGCTTCCAGAATCACGTACAGTTTAACTCTAATTTAAATGTAGGTAAGAGATACTCCTGTGCATTTCTGCAAATACTGAAATGCTTTGTATTTATTTTGCTTATTTAACTTGAAATAGTCCAGAGTGGTTTCCAAAGTAGGTTACAAGTGTTCTAGAAGACTGAGAAATAACTTAAGACCACAGAAGTTACTTTCAGACCCTACCTTCAACCTTCTGTTTCCTCATTTATTTTATTAGATTCTAAGCACATTATTATTATTTTTTTTAACATAAGTCAGCTTTGTATTTTTTACTGCCAAAAATCTGTCAGTAAAAGAACATCTAAACAGTAAGCTCACGCAAACTGAAAATGATAACCACAGAGAACAACTACGAATTGGTAACAATGAAAAGCAGAGAAGAAAAAGTAAAAGTTAAAAAGTTCAAAATACGAAGAAAAAAAAGATATATTAGATGCACATTACAGAAGAATAATTCCTTTAATTGTGTTTCAGCTCTCATCATCCATTCAAGAAGACTTGGCATAAATGAGAAATTCAACATGCGTTCTTCACCCATCGACAGCTACTACTGTAGCTCTCCCAGTCATCTACTGTTTCCTATTTATTACTGGCAGTTTTGGAAATATTCTCGCTGCTTGGGTGTTTTCAAGACAAGCATCCACAAAAAGAACACAGCATATTTATCTGGTAAATCTCATCACTGCTAATTTGCTCGTATGTAGCACCATGCCTTTTGTGGCTGGCTATTTTGCAAAAGGGCACCAATGGACATATGGCTCTGATGTATGCAGAGTAGCGTATCACTTCGGAACTATCATTATGCACGTCTGCACATACGTTACAATCATCATGTTGTGTACAATCGCTTTAAGTCAGTATGCAACGCTGAAGAAAAACAATGATGCACGACACTCCCAAGCAGTCACAAAAAACTTGTACAAATGTGGACTTCAGAAGTTTCGTCAGCCAAAGTTCGCTAAATATTTTTGTATCTTTATATGGCTCGTTGTGTTGTGCGTAACGGTAACAGCTATCACATACGATGCTCGGGCAAGGAGGGGGCAAACATTTCACACATGTTACAACATGAAGGTAGAAATAGGTGAATTTACTGCAAGGACTGCAGCTTCTTTTGCTACTGCTTGTTTTTTTCTATTTTTTCTAACTGTTTTGTTATCATACTATTCCCTCACCAGACACCTGAGTAAAATACAAAAAAACACCCACATTGGACAAAACCATATGATTTACAGAACAGTGAAAAGAAACATTCTTGTCATCCAGATAATTTTAACTGCCTGCTTTCTTCCGTACCATATTTTCAGGCCCATATTTTATGTATTGCTTCCAGAAGAAGACTGTTCAAAGCTAAACTATCTAGTAGAAATTAAAAACTTCCTTACTTGTCTGTGTGTTTCTAGGAGTAGCATAGATCCAGTTACAACCCTTCTGCTAGATAAAACATTTAAGAAAAGTCTGTACAGTCTGTTTAAAAAAATCCACACCTGAATAACACCAACGCAGAGCTGATATTTTCATTGAAGACACCTCACCAGTACGAAGTATGATGGAAAGATGTTAAGAGAGTATTACTAACAGCCAGCTCATTTTGACTTGATACAATGAGACTTCTATATCAAATGGGAAATATTTAAATAAAATGGTAACATTACTTGTATTTTTTTTAAACAGTCTTGCTTTAAAAATCAACAGCAGTCATAATAAATGAATTCATGTAATTCACACAGAGAACTGCGCATTGCCACTTTACCCATGTAAAGAAAAATACATTTATGTTTGCTGGATGGACAGTGTTTTCTTTCTAACTGATCTGGGAAGAAACTAGTGTGAAATAGAGGACATAGTTCTCATCTGTCACCATTATTCCCAGGTTTTCTGGGCTTTATTTACAAAAAAAAAAAAAAAAAAAAAAAAAAAAAAAAAGGAAAAGCATAGATTTTTTCTCTCTAAAATAGATTAATCATTTGTCAAAGGCTTAAGGAAGAAGGCACAGAGAACTACAAAATACACTCAAGATTAACCCTTTTTTTTCCCCTCAGAAGCTCAGCTCTGAGTCTGTCTAAGCACTGGCTAGCTGGTGGTGAGCAACTGCACTGTGCATCACTTCTTGTATTATTCTTCTTCTTCTCCCTTATTAAACTGTCCATATCTCTACCCATCATTTCTTGCACTTTCACCTTTTTGAATTCTCTCTCTCCCATCCCACTGTGAGCAAGTAGCTGTTTAACCTGGCAGACAGCCCAGCACTGAAGTCCAACATGTAATCGCCCTAAAGTGTTACATGATTAGACCACATCAAATTTGAATTAACACATGTTACTCCAGAAGGTACCTTCTTCACATCAGTCTTTAAAGCCAGACCACTTGCAGAAGAGTGAGTAAAACACGAGTCATACAAAATTGTGGGATATCCGAATGCACATGAAGTGAGGGGAAAAAAGGATGAAATGCATACATGCACTTATTTTAACCTCTGGTACTATTTAACATAAATATAAAAAAAAAAAAATCACAGAATTTCCACATTCCTAATTTAACTCTGCGAGGCAAATTTTATAGTTTACTTAGGTAGGCATAAATGGTTATTATTTACTGGTATACAACTTATACTCAAAATAAACATTTAAGAACCATGAACAGAATGAAAGAAGTACAAAACAGGAGTGGTTTTGAATTTATTCTTGTAGCATGGTCTTTTCCCTACTCTTCCAAATGAGATCAACGGAAGCTGTCCAATGAATGCAGAAAGTGTTACAGAACATTAGCTATTTTTTCAGACGTTCAGTTTTTTTTTTTAACAAGCCCAATCATTTGCTGCAAACTGCACAATAAAGTGTAGCAAGCAATTCTGTCTTTCCGACCCTACTACTGAGCTCCATTACAGAAACACTACATTGACCCAAAACTGGCATATGGTGTTAGATACAAAATATTAGGCCTCCTGTAAAAGGCACCCCAAGACTTCATATCATTTGACACCTGCTTTGTATTCTGCAGAAGTTCAATAAAGAGGTAAGTGAAAAAGACAGAAAAATCACAGGAACATAGTATTTTATTAAATACAGTGCTACTTGTGAAAATAGAAACCATCATTTGCTTATTCTACAGAATTCTCTTGTGATGCTTAACAAATGATCTACAGAAAAACCTTAAGTGGGCAGCTTCAGAGTCTAACACTGCAGAATGCTAAAGGAAAGAGCTCTTGAGCATGAAGGCTGGTTTGTGTGGGTGTGCATCATACTGTGCAAAAACAAAGGACAAGACACCTAAACCATGACTAAACCAAAGCAGTTTAAATTTGCTCAGACTACTGTGTTTAGATCAATAGCAGTAGACATTTGCATGACAAGTTTACCGTCAGGGTGCTTTTGTTTTTGCACAGGCTCAAAATAAGAACCCTAACTTCTGTCCTTCCTTACACTTAGGGAACCTCAGCACAGCAAGGTGTCTAAGGATGTAAACTTCAACACTGAATTTTTGGTGACAGTATAGGCTTAAGTAATTATTATTCTGCTTTTCTAGACCAATTGGTTCCCTAGTGCTGCAGTTACCAAAAAGGGAAGAAAATGGATGAAATTTTGGGAACTACTGATTAAATACAAGTTTGTGGTAAAATCCCATTTCACCAATTCTTCTTAGTACCCCAAAATAATACATACTTTCAGTATTTTCCTATAGAACCTGTTTAAAGTGACATCTCCTTTACATTTCTGAACTGCATTAGTTGGCTTATTCCATATTAAAGAGTAGAAAAACCTTTGTGCAGTATGGGCAATTTGAGAATCTGCAACTAAAGTAGTATGTTAGTTCAAGAGTTCACAGAGGAAAAACCTCTCAAAACAGAGAGGCGTGTGGAAAAGATACAGAAACCAGCACTTCAGGAAAACGCAGCTCATGTGCTAAACTTCTTGTGCTTTTTAGTCATCCTGGTGTTAACTTGGAAGTTTTCAGGTGAATTGTGAATTATATAATCAAAAATTAAATACTTGATTTCTATAGCAGGAACATAAAATACTAGGGCAAACATGCACAACAAAGGGTTTAAAAGACCCTTTGTTAACCCCTTCAAAATGTGCTGCAATGGCCAGCTCAGAAGATGCAGGCTTTCTGAATGGCTGAGCAAGTGACTGGAACATATGAACTTCCAGATCAAAAGGTATCCAACTATGTAGCCGTTGAGCTCTGTGGCATGTCAAGCAGTCTAAATTCTCAGCAAGCAGCACTTCTCAGCAAAACTGCTTCTGAAAATGTAGCACCCAGCAGCAGAACCACATTAACCAAAAGATAAGGCAAAGGTCAGAGATTACCAAACTTTCAAGTAATGTTAGGGACAAAAGATAAAGAAACTCAAGACCTCTCGTAAGAGAAGGAAATTAAGGCAAGCAGAGGCCATCTTGTGAAAGTTTTCATGTTTTGATTCTTACATGGGAGATGTAAATTTATCATAGGCTGCAGTCAGCTTTGGTTCATCTTGTTGCTTAAGAAAAACAGATGAAGTTTCTGGCATCAGACAACAGCAGACTGAAGTATTCCTAATCTGACTTCTTATTAGTTGAGAGCCAAGTGAGCACAAAAATGCCTACAAGACACTTAATTCTAATAGGGACTAAAAGGTACACATTTTCCTGTGAATCAGATCAAGATCAAACATTCTGCAGTTTAAAATAACACACAAAAGAGGAAAAAAAAATGCAGAATCACAGAATCATAGAATGACTGTATCGACCTTACAGATCCTTATTCACTTTCATTCATTCATATAATTCAGAAATCATTCACTTACCTTACTTCCTTTCAAAACACTGCCTACAGTGACATCTAGAGCTGAGATGCTGCAGTTAACTTAATGATCTACACATGAGCTTTATAGTTAAAATATTTCTGCTCAGCTTTTATCAAGATTAAACACTCATGTAATTGAGTAGCTTTATTTCTAAGGATGGCATTTAATAAAAACAGTGGTTTTAAAATTTTCAAAGACTGGATAAGCTGTAAAAACATATCTACATTTTTCTGAGGAATAAGGCCACTGAAACTGAAATATGCTTTTGTTCAAGGACATCCTCCAATGACAAGTAATGCAGCTCCCAGGAAGACAAAGCCACGTAACTATGGTGTTCATTCTAAAACTCACATGCTATTATAAGCAAACAACTAAAAGGATTCAGAACCTTCACACTAGAACAAGATCAGAAAACTTATCAGCGATTAAGAGGACAACAAAATGAACAAATAGCATGTATTCAAACTGAAGAGAGACAAACCAAAATTCTTAGGTTTAAACTCCCAACTACTTATACCATAATGCTTTGGGATAAAATACTTCCACAAACAATCACACAAATGTTACATAATATATACGATGTTATTAAAGTGTTCCTAAAGTTGTAAGCATTTTAAAGTGCCCCTACAGCCTGTATTTCTCCTCCAAAACTTGTTCTCATAGTAACTAATATTAAAGACTGTTTGTGAACTGTGGGTAGTACTGCCAGTATTCTAGCATTTAAGGATACACTTATCTAAAGAATTTTGGTCTAGATGATTTGATAGCTTCATCTGTGCTGTCAAAATGATGTAATTACTCTAAAAACTCCAGTTTCATATATGCAATTAATTCATACACAGGTTTTCGTAACAAGAAAATAAGTACAAACGCATATGAATACTCAGGAAGCAGAAATCAAAATGACTTCCAAAGTAATTGCAATCAAATGCATATGTAATCTGTGAAGAAAGACTTCCCAAATGTTCTATACTGACAGAATTAGTGATAAATGATAATCTCATACAATACAATAAAAATAAACACATGCTCATTAAATAGTTTTCTGTTATATAGGTCCCCTTTTCCTCTCCTGTAGAGAAACTACCAACGTTTAGTACTTTGTATTAATGCAGCAATGGAAAAAAATCCCATATCTTACCTTCACATCCCTGTGAATTATATTATTATCATGACAGTAACGTAGAGCTTCCAATATCTGTCTCATGTAATGACTGTAAAAAACAAAGACATGATAAATGACAATCCTGCAGGAAAAATTATTATGCAGATACAACTACATTTAAAGAGTCTAACCACATAAAACTTATCAACCAACTAAACTGTATACAAGTTCAGCAGACAGGAGTTTATGTCTAATGAATAACAAAACCTAAAGTTTGAGGATTATTCTGATTGAACACAAGGGAACATTAGGAAAGAAAAATCTACATCTTCCATTATATAAATGTTTCAAACATTCAATAATTCTGTTTCAGATGATGAAAGATTCAAGGGTCATAACAAAACAAGATAAGGAAAAAAAGTGGTATCGGTGCCTGATTTACCTACAATGGGACAGAACCAAGATCTTGACTCACCTGATAAAGCAAGATTGAAGACTAATTTATTTCTCCTCTGTGTCCCCTAAAGGACATTAAACACTGAAGGTTGCCAAGAGGTTGTCAAGCCTCCATCCTTGGAGACAGTAAAAACCCAACTGAAC